AAAAATCTAAAGAGTTAACTATTAGCTTAAAGAGATACAAGTAGTAGATAATGAATATAAATATTCAATCATTTCCTCCATGTCCCCAACCTGATAGCATCTACAGAAGTCCCCGAAAATGGCTCTCAATCTAGTTGCGTGTATACATTTTAATCAGTTACTATTCACTAATAGTGACGACATAGTATATACATTTTTAATCACTATTCCTTTATAATTTAGAGAGACTATTAGTCATTTTCTGGCTGATTTGTACAATCTACCATACAGAAGATACGGGGAATTCTGGCTATGATAGTAGCTTGATAGATTAGATAGAGTTTGATAGAGTAGATTGATGCAGATATATATTAATTTTACGCTGATGTATATTAGTACTGATCTTTGTTTTTTTGCGTTAACGTGTGCAACAGGTGTAGTCAATAGGATTAGTTGAATATGGAATTTTTAGATCTAATTAAAATCTTAATTTTAAAGGAAGTGTAAACATATTTAATACGATTGTTTAATTACATATATAAATTATATGTAACTTTATATCTAATATAGTATTATTTGTAACATTTCACACATATCAAATTAAGATTTAACTGATGTTACGTGTTTTAAGGTTAACAATAAATCTGATTCCATTTATAAGCTTGCCGATTTTACTTTAGCTCAAAAACCATTGAAGAAGGCAGTTTCACAAAGATTATTTTAATGCTGTTTTGTGTACTATGAACAAAGAAAAATTTACTCTTTATTACAGGTGTATCTTTAAACAATAAAATTAAACATGGATCTAATTGATTAACATCAAATAAAAGTTTGAGCAAAAAATATTTAAAAATGTGTTTGAGTTTTTACATGTAGGAAGATTATCTGATTTAATATAGTTGGGTAATAAGATCTTCTGTGGCCGTATATTGCAGAATTGTTTTTTCGCGGTATAATAACACATGTGTTGGATGTACAATATATTATAGTTGTGATATAAATCAAATAATTTGAATTAGTTATATGTAATATTAGGCGTTTTCGGTGGCTCGCAAGTGTGGCAAAAAATGCATGTTGGCCTATTTTCGCTAAGCAAGACATTGGCATCACTGTTACAAAAATGATGATGATTTATGTCCTTATTACAATTTATATAGGTTGGATGTATAGTATACATTGTATATACATAGATGAGAGCAGAAGTTTTAATAAGCTCTACCAAATCTCAATATCGAGTATATGAATAACATAAATAAATAAGATTATTTGAGATATTACGCGTCTTATATACAATAATAAATTACTATATGCTATAATATTTAAATGTTTCAAGTAGTTATAATGTAATATATAACAGAGAAGCATATTTGTATTTAGAGGGCTTAACTTAACTTTTAACATTAAACAAAATTTTTTTATTATTTATATAGAAAAATAAATTGTAAATAAAATACTTGCATTGTTTTCAATTTAAAATGAGCAATACGATATATAATATTGTGAATTGTCAACCCAAACAAAAATAAACAAAAAACCACCTGTCAGATTAGCAGTGGTTTCTGTTCCATTAAGAATTTATTTAAACTAAACATAAGAGAAATAGTTTTCAGTCAACTTTTTTTTGGCTTCAATATAAATTATTAATAATACTTTTGAAAGTAACTTATTTAATTATATATTATATGTTTTAATTGAAGGAAACAATTGAATCCAACTAACATGACATATTTGTGAATGTTTAACAATTTGCAACACTGCTTCGTGATGTAGCGACGCGTAGTAAATTCTTTTAAAATTCACGTTTTCTTTATTATTTAAATTTAAATAAATTACAACGAATTGTTATACATTTGTATTAGATAAATATTTAACTAAAGAATTGTAAATATATTGAATATGAGTTTTATTTAGTGTAGTTGCGACAAATGCTAAAATGCATGCCATTCCAGTGAGAGTAAAGTGAATTGTGAAAAAACAAAACAAACGCGAAACTTGTTAAAATATCAGAAAATAATTTATTTAAAAAAATAATAATATAATGCATTACTAAATTATAAAAGTGAACTAACAACCTAACAAACAAATGTTAATTGCATTAAAAATAATAAGACCACTATAAGGAATGTAAGTATAGCATTGCATTTTTTTTTTTTGTGACAAATACAGTAGTGGCGAAAATATTTGAATAATTTGTCCGTATATATTTAATTTAACAATATACTGCAAATAACGTATTAATTAATTTACTAAAAAAAAACAATATTTAACGCGCATAGTAAAATACAAGAGATATTTAATTTAATTTAAATAACTTGTTAACTCTAAGTTGTTAAAATATTACTAATTCGATTTACTTCTAATTCTTATAAGAGATATTCACATTTATTTTTATTTCCGATTAAATAACAACAAAAAACTTAAATACAATGTTTTTTCTTTACATAAGTATGTTTCATTTGAAACGAGATAACACGGCTATATCTTTAGAATATAGTATATAATACTATATATTTATTTATTGCTTAAATATTTATATTTTATTTTATTAACAATTTTGTTACCAACAAATGCATTTTAAAGAGTAACACTGAAAGAGAGTTGTATGCATTGAATTCTCAACTCTAGTAAAAAAAAATATTTAACTCATCTGGCCAAAACCAAATACGTTTGCCACAACTTCCACAACAAGTTTCGTTTCAGTTCATTTTCAAACGTTGTCAGTTTCGCTTGTCTCGCTTGTCTCGTTTGTCTCGCCTGAATATTTCAGCGCATTACTGTTAACCTTTTTGTGTTTGGCTCTGATTAAATGTTAATAAGTTTAAAATAATAAAAGAAACACAATGAACAATATATTATTGTGCTATTAAAGTGAATAAAATATTTCACACTAATTTATAAAAATCTATAAAAAAGAAAAAGTTTAATAGAAAATAAAGTGCGTATCTCTGTGATCACTCCTTCGCCGTATATTCGCGTAGTCTTGTCGCTTGTCTAACGTGTTTTGTGGTAGTTTCGGGCATGGCGGTTGTCTGTTTTTGGTCACCTTAACAAGTGTCTTGTTGACGTTGGACGGACGTGTTAATCGTATTTTGCCTTTGATTTGCAAGCAATGCAAGGTGAAAATGGAAAGTGAGATCCCCTGGCACTGATCTGCATTCACATTTTCTTTAAATTATATTTTCTTTTCTTTTATAGAAAAAAGTGCGAATGAAAGTGAGTTTTCCAATATTGACGATTGTGAAATTAATATTAATGCATTTTTATATTTTCACTCCATTTTTAAAATATATTAATTTTATTTTAAATAAATCTTTTCCATCGCGTTTTGCGGCAATTTGAACTGTACAAATCCCCGCGTTATATGGGGGAATGCCCGTGTTATATGGGGTCTCATTCGGTATCAATTGTTGTTTTTATCTATTTATATTTATTATATTAAAGTAGTCATTCATATAAAAATATGAAATGAACAGTTCATTTTTGCTTCCGATTGCTAAAAAGTTGAAAAAATGCGCGATGCCAGCTTAAATATTTTGCTTATGAAAATTTGAAGTCGTCCCTGTTGTTAACAGAGACGATCAGCTTCTACCGCGATCGTCCTTAATACAACCTGTACACGTTTGAAATTATTGAACTTTTTTTTATTCACCTCTTCTCCAGCGACAGGTGGCTGCAAATATGTACCGAATTTTTTGCGCCATTCCGTCTTGCAGAACCATTTTCATTATTGAATTTTTAAAAGACTTGTATGTTATGAGTGTTGTCGACCCCTGATAAAGTAAACCGATTTAACAGTTTGACACACGTTTTTGAAAATATCAAATCTTATTGTGAAATAGAATAGAAAGCTGTTTACTTCCCAAAAGTCCGTCAGAAGAAATAGAACAGAAGAAAATTAATTAATAAAATACTCTTTTAAAATACGGAGGCCTCTTATATATAGTTTTGATATATAGGATGATATAG